GGATGCCAGCCCAGAAGTCCCTTCCTCTGGGCTGGTAGCGGCAGGATGGATGGCGGCCCCAAAGCCCTTTCCTCTGGGCTGGGAGCGGCAGGAGGGATGGTAGCTGGGAAGCCCCTTCCTCTGGACCAGGAGCACTGGGACGGCAGCTCAGAAGCCCCTACCTCTGGGCCAGGAGTGGTGTGATGGATGGCAGCCCAAAAGCCCCTTCCTTTGGGCTGGGAGTGGCAGGAGGGACGGTGGCCAGGAAGCCCCTTCCTCTGGACCCCCAACACTATTTATTGAAGAGACTATCCTTTCCTCATTATCTGTTTTTTGACATCTTTGTTGAATATTAATTAATTATAAACTTGGAGGTTTATTTCTGGACTATCTATCCTGTTTCACTGGTCAATGTGTCTGCTTTTGCCATACTGTTTTTATTTTAATAGCTTCATAATATATTTTTAAATCAAAGATTATGATGCTTCCAGCTTTGTTCTTTTAAAGATTCCTCTAAAAATATTAGAATTGGCAAACAAATTCAATAAAGTTAATGGTTACTAAAGTCAATATGCAGAAATCATGAGTGCTTCTATACACTAACAAACTATCTGAAAAAAATTGGGAAAAAAATCCTATTTACAATAGCATGAAAAACAATACAATACTTAGGAGTTAATTTAATCAAGGAGGTGAAAAATATATACACTGAAAACTATAAAATATTGCATGAAGTCAAGAAAGGGACAAGTACAGTGTACAGAAATATATCTCATTTCAGGGTTTGGAAGAATTTGTATTAGTGAAATAACTATGCTACTCAAAGCAATCTACAATTCAATGTAATTCTTATCAAAATCCCAGTATCATTTTTCATAGAAATAGAATGAACATTTCCAAAATTCATATGGAACCAGAAAAGACTCTAAATAGCCAACAAGCCTTTTTTTTTCTTTCTTGCTCAGTGATACAGTGATCATCTCAGTAGTACCAATGGGATGAAAATTGTCTGTTGACTTCTTTCCAAACATGTTGAAGGAATCCCTAGACATTGGGCAAAGCATCAGGCAAATCTCAAGAATATCACCAAATGAATTATTAGGAGTATTATGATTAATACAAAAGAATATCATTAATGACTGTCCTGGTTTCAAATTTTCTTCTTTTTTTAAATTTCTTTTTTCTTTTGTTTCTTGAAATTTTCTTCTTGAGAGTAGGAAAAGCAAATTAGGTCAGTAATTTTTAAAACATCAAGGACCTAGTCCCTTTGACCCACTGAATCAGAAACTAGATATGGGGCTCAGCTATCAATACTCTTGAGAGTCCCTCTGGTGATTCTGATGTGTAACTACTGTTCAGAATCACTGGAGTAGATGACTAGGACTCATTTATAAGGCAATGATTTGTAGATTCAGTTGGGAATCCAATGGAAAAATCTCCAGATTATGAAAATAGTTTTGGCAGAGTGAAATAGAAAGTGTAATTGAATTTGGAAGAGAAAGTGGATAGTAATGTTTTTCAGATTTTAAGATGCATATGAATCACTACAGTTTGTTAAAATGCAGATTTTGATTCAGTAGGTCTAGGATGGAGTCTCAGATTTTGCATTTCTCACAAGCTCCCCAGGCCTTATTGACTGCGCTGCTTCTGTGATCAAATCAGGAGGAACTATGGGTAAATGCCTTCTTGCCTCTCATAGAAGAGGAAAGGAGGTGTCCTGCTTTAAGATTTAGGTGCCTGTTCTGAAATAGTAAAGCATAGCAACATCATGGAATACTTTATTTTGTAAACAAGGCATGACCCACTAAGAATGTTACTTCTAATGTTTTTTTTAATTTATTTTTTTTCCTTAAATTCTTTTATTGGTACATTTTAGGTATACAATACATTTACATTTATCATTGGGAACTTGTACCTGTACATGATGTATCTTTGTTCTTATTTTTTCCCCATTCCCTGTCCTCCCTTCACCCACTTCTAATGTTTTTGAGGAGAAAATAGTATTTTGTTCCACTCCCTGAACAGCTAAATTTATGTTAAATAGGATTTGTTAAGATTTAGGGATTAAAGAAAGATAGATGAGAAAGCTTGTAGGAAGGAATTAGCAATCTTTCTGGGGAGACAGAAAATTAACTAAATTACAATGTGCAACACTAACAGAATTAGCAAGAAACATATGCTTTAGGAGCAGAGTGAGGGCAAAAGGTAATATTGATTGGGGAGCGAAGATGCTTGGAACAGCCTTTATGGAAGAGGTAATATTTGAATCAGAACTTGAAGAATGAATGTGTAGAATTCTGACAAGAAAACTATGAAAAGGAAGAGGGAAAGGTGTTTCAGGAAGAAAGGATTAAAGCAGGAGTTCTCAACTTTGATATCAGATGATCTGGCAAGATTATAGCAGTTTCTTTTTTTCTCTTTTTTGGTACCAGGGATCAAACTTGGAACCTTGCACTTTCGAGGCAGGCGGCAGAATCACTGAGCTAAATCCCCATCCTAGGCAAAATTTTAAAAAGACCTTTAGATAATCTAAATTAATTTGAACCTGGTCACCAGTGTTGTTAAAAAATCTCTTTAGTGATTTGAATACACAATCAAGGTGAGAATCACTGAGGATATATAAAGTTGCAAGACTTGTTAAAATGTTTTAAAATATTTCAAGGGACATGGGAGCAAAAAACAAAGAAGTTCCAGATGATTCTTGGGAAAGATATGCAGACCCACTGTGGTATGGGGTATAAAACTTATTATCACTGTAATTAGAGTAGTATATAATTAATATGGAAATAACCAAAGGCTGTGGAGAATGTGCTTTATAAATACAAATTAGACAGAATTAGGGCCTGTTCCATAGCAGTAGCTACTGTCTTCATTTGATCGTTTTTGCCAAACAAGAGAGGTAAGATAGGTGGTCCAGCTAGCACTGCCATGATAGGAGTCTTGGCTGGGCTGGTGGCCTTAGGTGGAAAGGAGGTGATGTGCTTGCATGGTTGTGGGGTTTTCAAAGGCAGTGTGACTCAGAGTATGTCCCACAGCGCAGCAACATAAACACCAGCGAGGAGATTGTTAGAAATGACACATACATACCCAGCCTGCTGAGCCAGGATTTCTGAAAGAGGACTTGTCTAGATAATTCTTAAGCACAATAAATTTTAAAAAGTGCTGGTCCGTGGAGCTGAAAGAGACTACAAGATTCAGAGATTATATACCTACATACACTCAGACACAGACATATACAAAACCCTATAGAAAGTAAGCAAGGAAGTAAGCACAGAGGTAGAGAAACAGCTCCCAAGCAGGACACAGGAAGCATTGTTGCAGGAGTGGAAGCCTATGGGGGGGTGCGGGGGGTGGGATGGAGGGGACTGGCAACCACAGACTGAGGCTGGGACCTAGAACCCAGGATTCTAGAAGTGAACAGGTGGCCACTGAGCCGCATGGTAAGGGATGCCAGGCTGACACCAAGGATAGCTGTAAGGCCTTCCAGTGATGGTCCCTTCTTTTTGGCAGGCATGTCTTTCCATTGGGTCTTTTGCACCCTGTCCTGCATTCTTTTCGGGTATCTGGTGGGAAAATGCCACTAGACAGTACAGTTTCTACACTGAAGGGCCTCTCTCATCTTACTTTCTGATTTTAAGTTTCACTTACTTATTGCAACAGTTTTGTATCTTTTGGGTTCATGTTTGTCAAGATTATTCTTTCACTTTGTCACCCCACCTTAAGCTCTTTAAGCCACACTTCTCCTTTATGGTGTATTTTGAGCATTTCTTTTCTTAGTTCTAAATCTTTGTTTCTCCAGAACTATTTGCTCACTCATTCTTTCTTTGCCCCTTTTATACTCAAATTCAGTCTCTCCACGAGCCTGTTCATCTCTTCTCTTCCACCCCATCATCTTGTTACACTTACTTCTCACTTAAATTTTCTAAAGAGACAAACATGTCCAAATGTGGTGACCAAAACTAGCAACAGCTCATTGCTCAGGCAGGCTAATGCTGTTTGGGAGATCAGTGACTTGATCCTCAGTGCCAAATAGGTTGATGGTTAAAGAGGAGTGTTTACTTCACATGGCTGTCGAGAGACCCAGTACTTTCACCAGAGCCACACCTGGAAAAAGTCACTTCCGCCCCCATTCCCTTGGCCAGAATGCAATCATATGAGCTCATCTTACTGAAGGGGAAATGGGAATGTGGTTTAGTAATGTGCCCAGGAGGGAAAAAAATTAGGTTTGATGCACACCCAAATGAAAGAATTTTAGCATTCTTTGCCACACTCTACTCTTACTAAAACTATTACTTTTTGGATTCACAATGTTGGGAAGCATAATAATGAGATCTGGTAACTAAGTGTTCACTGTACATCAGGTCATCAGGTGTGTTACAAATATCTAATTCAGAGCTTAAGACAATAAGATTGCAAAGGAATAGTTTTCACTATACTCATTACACAGACATGGAAATGAAAGAACAAAGGTAATTTATGCAAGGTGGTACAATTAGTATCTATGTGGCTAAACTGGTACTGGGACCCATACAATCTGACTCCAAATATTGTATATTAAATGATCTTGTGTGCAGAGAAAGAAGACCAAGAGGGCCGAAATGAACAGAATACTATTTTGTAATCTACTTGGTATGTACTCAGGTTTCTCAACTTCTGTAAGCCTTGACTTCATTTGTAAACCAGTTTACTAATAGTACATAATACATAATATAGTGGCTATGAGAGTAAACGAGTTAATGTATTTATTACATGAAGAAGGCTCATGCCTCTGTACAATTTTCAAACTTAGCTCTATGTCTAGCACATAGTAAGTATATGGCAAATATCAGACATTATTATTATTATACCATATTTAAATATAAAGGAAGGCTTGTGTCAAGTATTTGAGTTGGTAGCAATGATAGCTATTTCCCTTTTGTGTGTTTTCTCTCCAAATTCCTTTACATCCTCTTTGGTCTGTGTGTGTGTGTGTGTGTGTGTGTGTGTGTGTGTTTGTGTACGTGTGTGTGTATCTTTTCCAGGAAAAGGTTTGTTCATGTTAAAAATCCTTACCTGGATACTATGGATGAAGACATCCTCTATCACTTGGATTTAGGAACAAAAACACACAATCTGCCAGCAATGTTTGGGGATGTCAAGGTAAGAATATTTCTAACTGTAGAAAAGTGATTGAGTTTCTTTTGGTAATGTTTCTCTTACTTTGCCAAATAAACTTTACACCTTTGGCTAGAGAAATGTCAGATGTCCCATTGGGAAGTAAAGCTGTACTAACTTTCTGAAACAACTTGCGTAGTGAACATCATGTACAATTATTTCCACCCCCACAAGGTATAGGTTCCCAAACTGAAACTAATGCAGGCATGATTATTTGGCTGCACAGGCTCCTGGAGATAAATGCAATTTTATTAACATTACTGCTGGGTGCTCAGAATTCATTATGTTTTAACAGATTCAGTTCAGTACTTAATGTCCACATTTACTGCAGAACCTCACTAATTCTCATTTTATTAAATCATAAAAGAATTCAACAAAACTAACAATACCATATTAATCTACTTCTTGGAAATAATCATTATTCAATATTTCATATTATTAAGATTTTTTTGCTTCATAAGAAAATTGTTCATGTAAATATTGCCAGGAAAATTAGATTTCTGTATAATTTATTTTATCTTATGTATTTTAATTATAAAAGCAATTCATGTTCATTATTTAAAATTAGGATAATATAAAAAAGATCAATGATTTTTTAAAAAACACACCTCATAGTCCCACACCTAAATAAACACACTATCAACCCATTTCTTTTCTTTCAATCCTTTTTAATGAATATATTTAAAAATAGTTGTAATATAACTTTGTACTCTGCATTTTTCATTTAACTTTATGACATTAATATTTTCTCATTTATTACATTTTCTTTAAAACACATTATTCCTGGAGGTAAAGTGCCAGTGCCATAAATTATAAAGCCTATTATCAAGTTTCATGTTAAATATTTTGCATTATAAACAAGACCCGAGTGGCTGTTTTTGTTACTAAGGATTTTGCACATTTAGGTGTGTTTAGGATGATTCACAGAAATGATCAAAGGGAATGAACTTTGTTTATTCATTAAGTTTGTTTATTGGTACATTTTAGGTATACATTATGATCACATTCATCACTGGGAATTCATCCCTGTACATGGTGTATCTTTATTCTTGTTTGTTCCCCTTTCCCCTTTCTTGCCTTACACCCCTCCACCCTTCTCTATTTACAAAAATACTTTGTTTCCAATTTTTAAAGATCCAAAAGGAAAGGAGAAGGGAGGGGAGTAGGGAAAAGGAAAGAAGGGAATGAAGTTTTAAAGAAAAAAAAATTCCAAAAGGCCTATACATATTTACAGTCCCATCAGTGGAGAACTGTGCGGTTTTCTGCTTTTCCCCCAACTCCTTTAGCAATTATAAGAACACAAATAGAGAGTTTTCATATCTACTATGTCATCAAATTGTCACATTGGCTCTTTGAGTTAAAGTTAGCAGATCTTGACCTGCTCTATAAAACAAGGAAACCGAGTTCAGAGAGGCTAAAGTTGTGTTATGGAGGGGCAGAGCTGGGACAGACCAAGTTCTTCCAAGTCCAATTTCTAGGGATCTTACTTATTGTACCAGGTGGCTTTTTTGAATTATGGTAAGCCCGAATAGTCCATTAATAGGATGGAGGATGGGAGAAGAGGAAGAGGTTAGGAAGAAGAAAAGGTGGAGGAGGAGTGAAGGAAAGAAGGGGAGGAAAAGGAAGGAAGAAAAGAAGAAGAAGAAGAAGACGTAGACTTATGATGCTCATTATCACCAGATGCCAAGTTGCCTCCCCCCTCTCTCCCAGAGTGAGGTGCAAGGTTGCGGGGAGATTTCCCAGCAGCAGCAGGACTGGCCCTTTCTCCATTCCCCTCCAGGCTACTGCTCCTTGCCTTGGTGTGGCCTCCATTGTCTTCTGCTTCACCTTTTCTCCCTACTGCTGTTTCTGATGCTTATGCTCCAGGAGTCATTGATCAAGCTGCCTCACAATGGTTTTCCCAGGACCCTTATCTAAGGATTATTTTGATGAATCAAAGGGTCATCATAATTAAAAACTGAATTATTCATTTAGTTAATAAGTTAAAGAGACTTAGGGTATTTTTTAAGACTGAGAGCGACCTCTTTTCTTCACGTCTGTCTCTCCTCTACCATTTATGGAGAGCCTCTGTGTGTCTGACCCTGTACGGTATCTGAAATTATACACCATTCAAACCCCAGTTTGACAGCTGAGATTCACAGAGTTTGAGACCTGTTGGCTCCTATTTCTAGATGAGGAAACTGAGGTTCAAACAAATACACAATGTATACAAAAATTATTTACCTGTTAATAATAGGCACAACACAGCTGGTAAGTGAATAAGTTGGGACTAAACTTCAAGTTTCTCTGATGAAAAAAGTAATGGTTCTTCCTGCATTTTTTTAAAAAGCACTATATTTTGGTATTTTCTTAATTTCTGGGAAGTCAATGGGCTTACTTTAGAGATGAAAATAATGAGACACACACATACACACACGCCTCATTTCTGTTACAAGCTCAGGACCAAGGCCTTCATTCTCTACCTCTCTGCCTGACTGGATTTTCATCTGCACTTATTTTCATACTCAGAAACTTATTTTCACTGTCAGAAACTATTACCCAGCCTTCCCAACTTTCCAGCCATCTAATGTAGAACTTCAGCAGATTCATTTTTGCATAAAAGAATGCTCTGTTTATAATCTGTTTGATCCCTCCAAAGAGCAACTCTACTTATTAGACCATTTTGAAAGGAGACAAAAGTGTGTGTGTGTGTATAGAGTGAGGAGCAGGAGACATGGTTTCAAATGATCAGAACTGGCTCTTTAACCTAAACCAGAATTTTTTAGAGGCAGCAGGTAAAATTTGATTTATTTTCACAGATGCTTTTCTCATGACCTTGTCTTCCTCCAGCCACATTCTTATCTTTGAATGAGAACATTCTAGGTTCAATTTATTTACTCCTTTAAATCTCAAGACAGCAATCCTGGCTAGGGAACCTAATGTATTGTACCTGAAAAGTCACCCTTGCCTTCACAGCAGTGATGATCATTATTATCAACATTGTTTTCAAAAGAAAGTAGAATTCTGGACATACAAAGTTTTAACCTAAAAGACTCTGACAGTCACCCTTATTTCCTTCATATCCTCACTATACTGCTACCTGCCACTGCAAAATCTCACAGGCTTAGCACAATGTATGTTCACTTCTTGCTCACATTAAGTAGAAAGCAGGTGGTCCTAGTTGATGGATGGCTTTCCTCAAATTGGTGGTTCTGGAACTCAGGCTCCTACTGTCTTGTTGTTTTGTCACCTTCAAGGAGTAGCTTGTAGTGTCTCTGGGTGCCAGTCTCCATCCAGCAGCTGGAAGAAGATATGTAGAATAACCAACATACCCTTCCTGTGATAAGGGAGATTTCCATTGGCACGCATTGCAAGTAGCATGCATGGCTTCTGCTCATATTCTAGTGGCTGAAACTTAACATATGGCCTCATCTAACTGGAAGAGAGCCTGAGAAGTTAAGATTCACCGTGTGCCCAGAAAGAAAGGGAAAACAGTTTTGGCAAATAGCTCATTAGTATCTGTCATACTCACTGGAAAGAATCAAACGACTGAAAAATACAATGGAAGATCTCTATTAGGAGTTATTTTTCAAACAACATTCAAATATATCTTCTGTAATGTTTTCAATAGGTATCTTATAAAGTCACTACCTGGCACTCTCTAGCCTGAGAAACTTCAAGTACCATGGAACGTCATTACTTTATAAAACTTGGCATAATATGCATTCTGAAGGTGTTTATACTCCTGTGTCAGCACACAAAATATATAAGCTGCATTTATGTACTATTAGAGTAATACAAAGTGGCAAAGTTAAGCCTCTCAAAATAGTGGTGATATTTGAAGGTGAGTTTGTTCTGACAGTCATTAGGCAAAGTCTGTAACATATTTTTTGTAGTGCCTTGACTCTTCCTGAATGCATTTCTAGCTTCTTTGATAAAACGAGGGTGATAATTTTTTTTGAAACATAAATCACAGTAACTGTCACCAAAGGTCAATGTTAGTTGGTGGTCCTTAGCCATGTTTTGCTTCTCATTAAAGCAGCCAGACTGAAAATTGTGTCTAGAGGTGATGTTTAGTACATTTGGTATAGGAGTGGGCCTTCGAGAACTGAGCTGCTTCTGTCTATACATATCATTTTTATGTCTCCAGAAACATTCAGAAATTTCTGTTGATTACAGCAATATCTATAGTTCAAAGAAGAACTCAAACCACAAGTTATTCTAACATCTACTTTGGTTTTATGATCAATTCAAATAGTTGTAATTTACATTCACTGGTACCACACAATGAAGTTATTTTCAATCTACTGTATTTTGTTTAAAAAATGAAAAGGTCTTCTTGCACTTAGATCTTGAGCCAAAACTTAACTATTCATACAAACAGAGAATAAAAATCCACAAATAATCAATAATGATTGAAAAACTCACTTTCAGTAATGAACTTATCCTCTTTGCTACCCAACCTTTATGGCTTACTTCCATTACAGTTCATTACTGGATTAAGTGCCCAATGGGGAAACTCCTAAACCCACAGAAAAGGCAATAATAAGGGGCAGATGAAGAGGAGAGGGGCTGGATGAAAGGACAATTACATTCCATAACTGAGAATGAGCATGTGCGGCCCAGGAATTATTGCTAAATGGAAACAATGCATCATGTGATCAGACCACCCAATAGTTACAGTTAATCATTTTTGTGAATGGGAGCGCCCACTCTACAACCCCAGTCAGATACTTCCTTAGGCAGATCTTTATCCTTGTGAAGACCTTCTCAGTCCTCTTCTGATCCTCTGCCCAGTGTGTCCACATCAGCCAGAAACTACCAACTGCCTTTTCCTTGCTAGAGGACTCAAACCAGCTTCATTTGTACAAACTCCAATACAGAAACAATGAACAAGCTCAAAAGGAAGGCCAGGAAATTGCTACATAACATGGAAAATTATAATCACTATTGATGAGACACAGAGAAGGTGCCTGCTCTTGCATGATGTCCTTTGCTATATACAATCACATTTTATCCAACAAAACTCCCTGAGGAATGCTGTGTTTTCCCATTTTGGAGATGATGGTCTGAGGCACACAGAGATGACATATGGAATGTTGAGCAAGTTGCTTAATTGTAAGTGGTCGAGGTTCAAAGACAAGTTTACCTAACTCCCAAGGCAGGCCCTAAAGCACTCTGTGGCCTCTCTCTCTGTGGTCTTGGAGTGTCTTCACACTCTGTATACCACACTGCCCAGTTTGGGTCTCTGTGTGACTTTGTGTCTGATCCCATCTGTGGACTCTGCTTCCTCCTGGCTCTGGGACATTTTGGTGCTGCTCATCTTCTGCATAGGTGACTCTGGTGCTTACCCAGCTGGCTGCTCATCCCTGCCACCAAAAGGCTACTATGCTCCTTTCTCTAGCATCTACTCTGTGGCATGAAGCAACTTCCAATTTATCAGACTTTATTAGATGAGATTTCAACACATATCTTAACTTCAGAGATGTTAAACAGGAATAAAACAGAAACAAACAGAAATCACTGGAATAGGTGAACTACTGTGGTAAAATTCCAATTTATAATAAGGCTTGTTCCATGAGAATTTCTTCTGAATGAGAAATTGAAAGTGTTGACATGACTCCTCCATATCTTAAAGCTGTCATAGTACATTTTACAATAAAAGCTTATGATTGGGGATGTAGAATCAGAAAACACATGTGAAACTAGCAATTCTCCTTTTCCTCTCCTATTACTTACATTCCATGTCCTCAGTACTTACATACTAAGCACATATTATGTTAATCTCCCAAGCTAGGCTGATTATATTAATTTAAGATGATGATTGATGATACTATAAACAAAAACCAGGAAATAGATCCTTGAACAATATCAACATTTAGGATGATTTTGTGACTTTCTTTACTAATTTGATACACAAAACTTTGCATCTGCTTGCCATCTCTACAGGGTAATGATATAAATTAGCTAGTTTGTGAACATAACCCATGACATCTCCACATTCTTTTAAGGAAATTAATGGAATATTAAAATAAAAGCATTACAGTTGAAAGCTGATCCTGATTTCTTATCCCAGTTTCTATGGAAGGTACTTGTTTATTTTTATTAACAGTTTGTCTGCGTCGGTGGGAGCCCCAACAGAATGAAAGCATTTGCACTGTTCATGCACAAGGAGCTTGGGTTGGCAGAAGGTGGAGAAGACATTAAAGACATCTGTGCTGGAACTGACAGATACTGCATGTTCAAAACTGGCCCTGTGCTTTCCATCAGTGTAAGTGCGCAGTGGTGGGTGTCAGCTGGTCCTTGCAGGCTGGAGAACAGAGTGAGAATTTCTGCATACAATTCTTTTCCCCCTCTGCTTAGCATTCTTACACAATAAGACCATGTGTCCAGGTATGATATCCATTACTGCAGAGAGTCCTTGGGTTTCAGGAGAGCATGAAGTGTTACTTGGTAGTCACCATTTAGCTATTCATGTTATGAAAAAGTCCTCAACGCATTCACTCAATCCCTCCACTTTTTATTTGTAACTGATTGATGTCCCCCCATCCATCGGCAATTTTTTTCTTCTCTTTCTCTTATCTAGCTTTGGGAATGTTGAGTTTTTAGTACATAGGGGCCAATTTTCAGGAGTACTAAAGCAGGGCTGTTTAACACTACAGTAAGCTGTCTGAAAATCCGCTGATGTATTTCCAACAAGTCCTTGTGAATTGCTCTTCCCGTATGTAGAATATGTTAACAATTCTGGACACACACAATGTCATAAGACCACCTAAAGAGGAATGATTTGAAGTTTTAGGGAACCTGCAGACCAGTCCCCTAAGTGGTGCCCCTTAGGAGGGTATCAGTGTATGCACACCCCGTTCACCTTTCCCAGCTTGTCTCTCTGCACAGGGCAAGATTCTGAAGCAATAGCTATGAGTCCATCACATGTATGGATGTGGTAGCCCTCCTAAGAGACACAGGTAGGCATGTCAGGGAATAAAGGGAGAGTCCTGAAGAGGAGGAACAATTCTATGGAGGTGATTTGTAAGCAGCACCCACACCAGGGACAGTCACCATGTACCAATCAGTCAGATTGTCCATAGTACTCAGTGGTAAAGTGTGGTGATCATGACTGGAAGCCTGGACCAACAAAGGAAAGAGCATACAGAACCAGTGGAGCAGCCAAGTTGATCTCCCCTTTAGGCAAGGAGTTCCTGAAACCTTCTTTGGGCTCATATGACTTCATCCAATAAATAATGGTGGACTATCTGCATTACCATAGAAGGAAGCAGAATATCCTCTGATTCTGGCAAATCTTGTCCTGCTAACTTTTGCTGATCTTTTAAACTATAACCATTTGTCCTTTTGTGCACAGTAAATGAGGAAGAACAAAAAAGTAAGGTTTATATAAAAAGTAGAACTACCATAAATGAGCATTAATACTTCAGAGTAAGATATGAAAATGGCAGCAGACTAACCCTGCTGTCCCGTCAGGAAGAAGGATCTAAAATATGTACCAAGCCAAGGTTAGCCAATTAAAAATGGGCCTTGGTAGTCAGGCAAATGATTCCCAATGGAGACCCCTTTGAAAATTTCTCCTCTCTGACAGCTTGACAGCTGTCAAGGAGTGTGTGTGTGTGTGTGTGTGTGTGTGTGTGTGTGTGTGTGTGTGTGTGACAGAAAGAGGGCGAGAGAGAAAGAACATAACTTTAACAGAAACATTTGAGTCCATTTGTCATTTTATCACTATTTTGCGAAATAGGTGCTAATCATAAACTTAACAAGTATCTGATTTAGGAAGTACCTAATAGATCAAACAGTAATCCATCATCTTAGTTTATAGTTCAGAAAATTATCTTTAGTTTATTCATTTGTTGCAAAGCCAGTCCCAACTTCCCAAACTTGTTAATTTTGAATGTACAAATCAATTCAGGTTTGACTCCTGGCTCTAGGAGGATCATGATGCATTCAGAAAGCAGGACATATCAGATGACTAACAATGGTGAACCCAGAGGCTCAGAGTTTTTATTGTTTAATATTCTTGATGTTGAGAAGGAAAGAACTCGGGTGAAGTCATGATGGGCACAGCTCCATTGGTTTTACCAAGTCTACCCTGTGCTTAAGAGTAGAATACATGGCAGAACCATTTGAATCTCTACTCTTAAGTGAGAAATGAAGTAAGTAGCCACTAAAATGAAGCTGAGATCTAGTTTTCACAAATGTCAGTACAGAAGGTCTTTCTAAAGAACTATTAGAACATAGTGTAATCGCCAAGAGTTGCTAAATCCTCTGATCTTATGCTGATCCCTAGTCTGCTGACATTGATTCTACTGTTCAAAATGTTGAAGAAAACCAGAATTACCATCATAAGCTATAGAAATTTAAACTCACCCACATGTTCAGTATAAGCAACAAATTCTTACATCAGAATCTTACCACATTTCTCCCCTAGAACTTCTCAATGATCACACGGGATTAGCAGTAAGTGGACAAGGCCACATGAGAACAATGAAACGGCTCTATTCTTTCACTTACTATGTTGGAGAAGCACTGGCAACACAGCAGCCAAAATTATGTTTCCTCTGTACTAAGTCAGTTGTGCAAAAGCTCTTTACACAGAAGCATTAAAAAGAACCCCATGGCGAGATCAGAAATGGGAGTGCCCTGACACACCTGTATACCACACCATCCCCACCTTTTGCTCTTGACAGTGAGGGGTGAGCTCAGTTTAACTGGCAGTGAGATGCCTCTCTTTGATCCTCACAGATGGATGCATCCATCAGTATGTCATGTAGGCGTCAGTTAAAGATGACTTACGTTTTCCTCAGTGTTGGCAAAGTTTTAATGATTATGTAAATTTATCTGAGGGCTGTTAACTTATAATGAAGGAAGAAAATATGTCCTGTTCCCATATCCATTTGTGCGATGTATAATGACTTTCTCCTTTCTCTCGACAGCATGGGATGGGTGTCCCCTCCATTTCTATTATGCTTCATGAACTTATCAAATTACTACATCACGCACGGTGCTGTGACGTTACTGTTATCAGAATTGGTACATCAGGAGGAATAGGTGAGATGGATTGATTTCTACCATTAAAACAGTGATTTTCGCATACAGGCTTACATTCATTCAAAGTACACCAACATACAGCCCAACAGAAACCTGGATGGGCTGAAAGTGTTAGGAGGCTGGACCTGAGGCAATGTAAGGAAATCTTCGTGCATTGCCTTTTTCTCTTTTTTTTCTTCCCCATGGAAAGCTGGAGGGAGCGATATTACTGCTATATCCTCAAACAGTCTCAGATGTCCATATAGAGATGAATAGAAAGTGCTAGAAAATATTTTGAGGGTAATAGTAAGTTTTGAAGTTTGGAAATTTAAGAAGTGATAGAAATAAGAATGTTCAAGTAGATAAGTTACAAAGATTCACCCTTCATATCAGCTAAGTAAGCAGACTTCAGAGCTCTTGGGAAACCATTGCTTTTTGTTCATCTCTGACCACATTGCTCTCTTGGCTATATCTTTTCCTCATCGGTACCCCAGAAAGAAACCAGGCTGAGCTTTTTAGAGGTCAAGTGGTCCTTCCTAACATTTTCCCAGAGCATCTCCAGGTCCTCTCTTCCTTGGTGGGTCAGGTAGCTGTCAAGGGGCCTTATTTATGCTTCCAGATTGTGCTGAAATAAAGTATTGAGGAAACCTCTCCTCCCTCACCTCTTTCTTAAAGAGCAGGTCTTGTCAGGGAGCAATTTTATCATGTAACCAAATGCAAATACAAATAGGTCACTATGACTGGAAAGTTTTGGTTGACAGACTGACAAGACTAAATGGGGATTATAGAAAAGGTTGAGAGTTTGGAATAAAAATGACCATAAAATTACATAATTTTGGAAGAAAAGACCTCAGAAATCTCAAAAAAAAAAGGAAAAAAAACCCTAGTGAAGCGATATGTCCAGTGACACAGTCACTAAAATCAGCCATGCTTCCCTAAAATCAGGCAGTGATTCAGGAATAAAATCCAGCCAAGGTCCCTTACATATGGAAGAAAGGAAAATTGTGAATGTCCATGCAGAGTGAAAGGAAAGCATAAGCAATTAGTGTTAGATCAGATTCCATCTAGACTGTAGTTAACCCAATTAGTACCTCAAATAGTCAATAGGGAACAGTGTGCCTGGGAATGAGATGAATAGCACTGTTATTAAAAGTTTCTCATTGTACCTGGGTTGTGGTATGCAAGTATCAGTTTTCATAGCTCACACCTATACATGGTACCATCCTGACTGCTGCAGTTGCCACTTGGTATCCATGAGTGTCCAGCATGGATAAGCCACTCTGGAGACCGTTCAGCTCATGGTCATGGTCTTTTAGTTCATGGCAACATTATCCATACTGCACATAGACAGAAACAAAATCACAATGAAGGCCTGTGAATAATGGTAAATTAATCTACAGTGCTGGTGTGAACATTTTCATTTTGCGGGGAACATCTTCATTTTCTTTTTCAGTACCTGGGATTGAACTCAAGACCTTGCGCTTTTGAGGCGGGCACAGTGCCACTGAGCTAATCCCTGGCCCAGAAACATCTTTATTTTTAAATTTATATATTTGTTAGGAACTCTTTGCTTATAAATAGGATACACAAGTTTGTTTTGTTTTAAGCAGTATTGCATCTGGAGATGAAAGAAGTATCTGCCTTCCTTTGCTGACATTCTCATTCCTTAAGAGTGAACACATCTTAATAAGGCACTTGGTAAAATATTTGTCCCTTTGAAAGAACTGAACCGTGAAATAAATTCTTTAATGGACGTAAATATTAAGATGACATGCAAATGACATCATTTTAGGTACACTCGTTTTCAACTTCCTTTTCAATTGCTTTCCTATTCTTAGCCTATTTTGAACATTCAGGGAACCACTTGATTAGCTTAGGTAAGAAGTATCTGATCCTTTAAAGCTCTATCTTCAGAGGCCACCTTGGATCACTAGCTGGGTCTTCTAAAATATTCTGTAATTAACTCTACTTTGATCAATATTGGAATTTATATCACTCAGGTTTGGCTCTGTTATATAACAGGGATTGGCAAACTTTTCCTGCAAAGAGCCAGATAGTAAATATTTTAGGCTTTGCAGGCCACATGGTTTCTGTCATAACTTCTGGATTCTACACAGTAGATTGAAAACCACAAAGGACAGTATGTAGATGAAAGTATATGGCCATGTCGCAATAAAACTTTATTTACAAAGATAGTTAGGATTTGGCTTGTGGACTGGAGTTTGCATACCTATTCTCTATGCTACCTCTACAGAAGCATTTACTCATTCAAAAAATTTCTATTGAGTAACTCCAGTGTGACAAGTAGAGTGTTAGATGGGGAGATAGGAGTGAGTCGATATTGTTCTCACCTTTGTAGAAGCTATGTTCTTTCAGAGAGGTAGAAAAACAAGTGTGCAACTGTAAAAAGGGAGGGTGAGGCATGAAGGTCTCAAGTTCACGTGCAGCCTGAGTAACTTAGCGATTTACCAAGTAACTTAGCGATTTACCAGGACACTGTCTCAAAATAAAAAATAAAAGGACTAGTGATGTAGCTAAGACCCTAGGTTCAACCCCTAGTACACACACACACACACACACACACACACACACACACGTGAATGTTAAAACAGACAACCTAGGGCACTCTAATGATAGGAAGCATCTCATTAAATCAGGATCTGAGTCACAGGTGGCCTGGGGAAATTTAATGTAACCAGTGTTGCCTTTTTTTTGGGGTACCAGGGATTGAACTAGGGTCCTTGTGCTTGCGCAGCAGGCAGAGAAACTACTGAGCTAAATCCCCGGCCCCACCTTTTGTTTTTATATACTCATTGCTTTGGCTCTCCCTCCATAGATTCAGGCTTGTTGAAAGAGGTGACTGAAGCTGCCACCTGAAAGATGAATTGGTGTTAGTGTGAGGAAAAGCAGCCAGACAGAGTAAGAGTTGGCAGAACACAGCTTCTCTAGTAAGCCGAGTCCCTTGAGTGAGCCAGACTTGGTAGCAATGGAAGGTCAGCCAAACAGCCTAATTTACATGGAGTCAGGGAGGAGACCGAGTGAATGTGATGACAATCAGAAAGAAGAGAGAACAGAAAGATGCCAAGAAATTATAGCAATCAAGGAGTGTCAGAGAAGATTAAATATCAAGTAGTCACATCATTTTATGAAAGCTATTTGCTGGCAGGCTCATTTAATTTATTCCTAACCTATTTTTTTCTAGATTGAGCCTCAAGACTAGTACTAATTTACATGTCCAAGAGTCATGTTTGTCTTGAAATCTAAACCCTATCACTTTTTAAATGTGAATCCAGAAAGACAGCAAGTGGAAATGCCTGTCCTGAATGCTATTTAATTGCTTTTGGGAAAGAAAATAATCTTAAAGGAGAAAACAGAGACAATCTTTAGCAACTAGCGTTAATTAATATTGGAAGAATAGATTATTACTATATGTCACAAAAGTAAACTTTAAATGATATTCTTCCTTAATACTTATTTGTTACCATGTTGCAGGGATTGCACCTGGGTCTGTTGTAATAACAGACACAGCTGTAGACTCCTTCTTCAAGCCCCAGTTTGAGCAGGTAATTTTGGACAATGTTGTCACTCGAAGTACTGAACTTGACAAGGAGCTGGCTGAAGAACTATTCAACTGTAGCAAAAAAATTCTCAACTTCCCAACCCTCATTGGACATACAATGTGTACCTATGATTTTTATGAAGGTGAGAAATAATTCATACATGGTCAAGGCAACAGAAAAGCAACTCTGTTATTCAAACCTATAATTTATATTAAAAACTCTACTTTAGAAAATTAATAGTTATGGACTAAGAAATGAACTACCACAGGCTTTTCACTTACTAAAGCATACCGACATAAGGATCTAATATGCAGCAGAGAAACATTCAGAATGAATTTATATTAAGTAAGTTTAATCCTCCAAGAGCAAATCAAAAACTAAAATGCAATTAGTGCTGTTGACAAAATCTTATCTCTGTTCATGCCTTTAACTGAAATTGAAGACTCCAGGGGAAGGGAGATAGGCTGATTCTGTTTTTGCCATTCACCTGTATCTCAAAAAGAATCTAATACCTAGGCAAGGATGGAGACCAGGAGATGGGAGGAAATGTTCAGGGGAACAAATTCCATAGGGATGGAGTGGACTCAGCATTGTGTTTTTATCTCAGTATGAATAAAAGGTCCCCATACCAAGTTTATAGACAAATTGAAGGTGACTGCCAACCCGCAGCTCTTGTTCCAAGGGATGAGGGGCAATGAAAATAAGCAAGCAAGCAAGCAAACAAACAAAACAATTTGAGGTCAGACTCTGCTCATTCCAGAAGAAAGAATTGTCATGTGGTTGGTACCACACTGTGGAGAGCATTTGGGAAATGTTTTAGTGTAGTTATGTTCATATCAAAATCATATTATTTCATGACTTCATTATTAATAACTTTTATATTCCCACTGGATCAAACTTCAGGTATTATTGTGAATTTTTAAAAATTTTGTATTGAGATAGGCTATATTATCTATACTTTATACTTCAGGATAGTGACGGTGTTTAACCACATATTTGTTATAAAATAGGAGGAATATTGGGTCTGACACAGTTAAGACCCTCTCTCCTAGGCCATGGGCTCACTGTCCCCTCATTTGGAGGGTCACCTAGAGAAGTAGTTAAGGCAAAGCTTGCAAATGGCAGCCTGTGGAGTCAATGCTTTTTGACTTAACGTGAATTATTTTGCCAACATTTGCAATTTCTAGAAATTTCATATGAAAATCCAGATTTTTGGTTTCTTGTAATAGCATAAAGTAACAAAAAATATACAATATGCATGGCAGGCCTGGCATGCCCATGGCCCATGTCTGGGCCACAGGTGCTGGGGGTCAGGTGGGGCTACTCACATCAGACCAGGCCCACCTTGTGCTTGGCTCCTGGGACATGTGAGTTTGAATCAGTTTAAATAACACCATTTGACGTATTGGATGGCAGTGCTCAGGGGAAGAGAAAGAACAAGGAGAAGCTAACGGCCAGGGTGGAAACAACCTGAAAATGGTAGAGGTAAGGGAAAGAAAGAGAGAAAGGGGTCAAAATTGACTGCACATAATGGATGATGGTGGGGTGTTATCAGCCCACCTGTTTCAAGCTGGGCTCTTCTAGGAGTGGAGGGGGAACGAGGTCTGCTTTCTGGGTGTGCACAGCAGGCATTGCTCCAGCTCCTCTGTCCCCACCAATTGACCCTGCTGAAATGAATGAGACATGAGAACTGGGAACAATCTAGAGAGGGTAATGTGGCCCACAGCCTGAGAGGAGTGTGAAGGGGAGGAGGGCAGGCACTCTGGTCTCTGGCACCGGTCATCGCTCTCATGATGGCCATGAGGAGAGCCGCAGTGTCCAGACCATCCTCCCACCCTCATTTTCCTTAGGCACCCCACCGAGGGTGAGGCCTCCTCTTCTCCCCTACACCTCCACCAGGGCCACACCCCAGTCACCAGGGAAGCCTGGGGGTTGCATCAAAGGACTCAGTTCTCTCAGGAACACCTCCAATTCCCGATGTCCCTGGACACAGTGCTGACTGCTGCCACCACTCATTCACTGGTCACTGGCCCCAGAATGGGGACACTCGGCCAAATACACCCTGCCCTACATAAGAGACTTTGGAGCAGGCACAGCCATGCTCCATAGCCCTCTGGTCAGAAAATTCAGTAGCCATCTTTATCCCATCTGAGTAGCAGACTCAAGCCAGAGGCAGCTGTGGAAAAAGCAAGCTTCCTGGTGATGCCACTGCCATGTGGTGGGACATAGATCAGGTCACTAAATGATCTCCATTCTCTTTTAGGCCAAGCTCGACTTGATGGAGCATTGTGCTCTTTTTCTAGAGAAAGCAAATTAGATTACTTGAAGAGAGCATATAAAGCTGGTGTCAGGAATATCGAAATGGAATCTACAGTTTTTGCAGCTATGTGTGGACTCTGTGGTCTAAAAGGTGAGCCCAAGGGTCTCATTCTCCTCTTTCATGAAGCTATTTCCACTCAAGAATAAAGGGTCCAGTTATGTATTACTTTGGGTTGAATGCATGTCTCATACTTGTATGTAACATACATTATCTTATAATGTTTTACGAGTGGACAGAACATAATTCCAATTATGCACATGAGGAAATCAAGCCTCAAGGGTCAAGCAAGTTGCCTGAATGCACCAGCTATTGATGATGTAGCCAGGCCTGCACAGCAAGATTAGCTTTCTTCATCCTGGCAGTAACTGCTATCTTCCATTACAATTGAATTTATTGAGACAAGATCCAAATGAGATCACCCTAAAATAGTCCATCAATTTTAATTAGCACAGTCAGGGGAGGATGGGAGGAGAAGATGGCATTTAGGAAAATGTTGCATGGATATGGGGAAGCACATTCTGCTAAATTTGAACCTAAGGCCACAAGGCAAGAGATGCAGGTTATGTTAGAGCAACAAAGAGGAGATCAGAGCACCTAGAAGGGTAGGAGCAATGAAGAATGGAGGAAGGGCTGCAGATTGTGTCACTGTTTGTTGTGAGAACTGTAACTTTCTCTCTGAGTGAAACCAGGAGTCTCCAAAGGACTAAGAATAGAGAAGTGATAAAATGAGATGCGCATTTAAATGATCACTCTGGTTGCTGAGTTGGGAAGAACCTAATGGGGCCCAGGGTAGAAACAGGGAGAATAAGAAGGTGAATACAGCAGTCCAGTGAGAGACAATGGCTGTGGAGGCTCAAATATTTTGAGACAACTTGCAGTGAATTTTGAAAGAAACTCAGGAGTGCAGAATGACTTATATTTACATATTTACAGCCAGAACACCTGGAAGGATGAGTTTATAATTGGAACAGAAGAAATCTAGGTGAGGACTTGGGGGTAGTGACATCCAAATGGAGGCATGTAAGTAGGTGGACTTAGGTATTTGGAGTTCAGGTGAGGATTCGGACTGGAGGAATAAAATTTTAAGTTGAAATGTACAGGTAGCATTTAAGCCATGTAAGGGGGGAGATGACAAGGAGGATGCATGTTGAAGACACTGCTGACCAGAAGTCCTTACTTAAGCATTAAAAGCCAGGAGACCAACAAAGAGTGGCCAATGATGTCAGTAGTATACAATGAGAGGGTACCATCCTGCTACCCTGATAAAAAAACTTGAAGTTTTTTGAAAGAAGCAACAAAAAATTATAGCATAATGATGCTTCCTTTTTTCACAAGTGGTGTTTGAATTCTAGTATTTGTCCTCATAGTCAATCAATTTTACTATACACATTACAAATAAAATGTATGTGGTAACACTTCTAAGAATACATTTAAAAAATAGTAATGGTTAATAAGAAAAGATCAATTGTAGAGTCACTATCCTTAACTATGCTAGTCTCAGGATATGTGCACATGCAAAACTCTACCACACGAGTGAAGAACAACAAATTCATCACTGTTCTTTTTAGAAGATCATGGTTAATATCCCCTTTCAGAGAAACAATAGCATCTGGTTTTCTCACTTTGAATTAGTGAGATTGGCTACTTGACCACTTCATCCGGATACAGCCTGGAGGACACCTGGATTCAGATAGTTGCACAGACCTCCTGGAATAGGGTCACCAGTCCTCATCAATCAGTGTTTCTCTACTGATCTCATTATCCTCGACAAGAGTATTAGGAACTTAGTGCTGCTTTAACAATGATTCAGGTGAAGGGAAATAGTGGAATTCACCAAATTATTATAAATCAAAAGGCCAAACCTTTCGAATAATGTAAAGCTGTACAATAGAAACACTATATAGTGCATTTATTTATCATTTTATAATATGCACATATCTGCCCCTTTCTTAAAGCAAAATTTACTTTAACATTCTGATTAAAGATGATAATCCTTTTGCACTATAACCTTGTGATAAATATATTCAATTCACATCCATTTTTCTTCTTTTTCTTTTTTTCTTTTTTGGTACCGGGGATCGAACTCAGGTCCTTGCACTTGCGCAGCAGGCAATGAAACCACTGAGCTAAATCCCCGGTCCAATTCACATCCATTTTTTAAAGACAGTGCTGTCTTTTGACATGTGCTTGCGTGGTAATATAAAAAACAATATTTGTTGAAGATTAGGTTCTGCTTAAATCCTCTCCACCATCATCAGTTGTTTGCAACTCACAGTAGCTTTTCTTTTTTCTTTTTTTGGTACTGGGGATCAAACTCAGGACCTTGCACTTACAAGGTAAACATGGTGCCACTGAGCTAAATCTCTGGCCCCTCACAGTGGCTTTTCTTGAAAGAAAGAGTTCAGTGTCATTTCTTTTGACAGATACTTGTAACTTCGGGGATATAGTCAGTCTTCATAATATTACTTTACAGCTGTTCAATAAAAGCAAGCAGAGGTTTGACTTTAATTCCAATTTTACACTCTTCTACTGTCCCCGGCAATGAAGAATACTGGACTCTGGAAATTGCATGCTGATCATCGATAAAGTCAAAAAGATAGGACAACAAAAGTGAAAGGTTATGGTAAATTTGGAGCAGGAGTACTTCTTAACCCTAAAAAGGAGATAAATGAGGATTTTGAAAAATTAATTATGGAAGGGAATGAGGCAATCAACTGCAGCCCCATTCACTCCACAGAGAAAAAGAAATCATGGCTCAAAGAGGTTAAATAACTTTCCCGCCTTATCACAGTGGAGACATAGCTGAGTTGGACTTAGAGCTCAGCTCAGACTGAGGCCACTTTGCACCATGCTGTACTGCTTTTGCCATCAGCCTCCCCGTGCAGGTACAAGTTTTGTTGTCTCTGCGCAGAAGAACCAAAATATGCATCATTACGTCCCCAGAGATTCATCCGTTTTCAATGCTCTGAACATATAGTTGTGCAACATCAGCAAGAAAATCCTAGGGCTGATCATATCCCAAGAGTTATCCAATAAAAGTGGAATTCAATAAAAATATCAAGCAGATGCGCATTATTTTGTCAAGATAGCCAGTCCTTGTATCTGGAAAATCGGGTGTAAATAATAAATAGTCCAGGCTGGGGATTTAGCTCAGTGGTTCCGGCACCTGCCTCTCAAGCACAAGGTCCCAAGTTCAATCCCCGGTACCAAAAAAATTAAATAAAATAATAATAATAATAAATAATCCACCTATTACTTTATGATTTTTTAATTGATACATACTAATTGTACAAATTTATAGGATACAGTGTGAAATTTTAATATGTGTGTGACTGTATAATGGTCAAATCAGGGTAGTCTATTCACAATATTTATCATTTCTTTGTGGTGAAACATTCAAAATCTGCCTTTTATGTTTTTCACTCATTACTTTTACAGACACAAGATTTTAAAAAATAATCGGTGTCATCCTGCTTTATAAGATTTTACATATTTTTAATCAAAGTCAGAGTCTTTAGTTTTGTTTGATTCATTTAAATTCTATTCTCCTAACTTGTAGGCTAATCGCTATAGTTTAAATCTCGAGGTCCCCCTCAAAGTGTCATGCATTCACAGTTGGGGCTTTTAGGAAGTGATTGGGTAATGGAGATGTGATACGCATCTGTAGCTTAGTCTACTGATGAGTCTACAGCTAAATATGATGTTGTAAGGTGAAGTCTTGTCTGAGGATGTGGATCACTGGGGGCACAGCCTGAAGGATATATCTCCCTCCCTCCTCCCTTGGTCTCTCTCTGCTTCCTGTCTATGACCAGCCCTCTTCTGCTATTCCCCTCTGCCATGCCACCATGCCAGCTGACTATGAACTGAAACTTCTACAGATTGTGAGCCAAAGTAAACTCTTCTTCCTTAAATTTGTGGGTGTCAGGTATTGTGTCCCAGTGATGAGGGAAGCAACTAAGACACTAATCCTCCTTCCTCACTGCCAACATACTCACATGAGAGCATCATTTTGGACCATTATTCCAATCTCTGTGTGGTTTCAGGGCTTTGGGGGCCAGGTGCTTCCTAAACTTATACACAAATTTCTATGTTTAGGCATATGTATGAAAAGAGGTTCCAATTACAACTTTCATCAGATTCTCAAAGAGGCCATATGTGGCCCCAGGTGGTTGCAAATCGCTGGGCATTCCTGGTGCAGCTCAGGGGACATTATCTCTGTGTTGAGATCTGTGTTCTCATACATTCCATGCTCAGGTCAGTTAGCTGATAAGCTTCTTGGTGACACCTTGGTCACTAAGTGCTCCTCCCTCCCCAGCTTCCACCTTCCATACCTAATCTGAGGATTATGGTAGCAGAGCTGCCAAGCTTAATTCTGACAAATTGTTTTGGGTAATTAGTCCCTTTTAATTGCTCATGGAAATAGTAATTTTAGGTGACAAGATTATTATATACTGCTTGTTAATGGGCTCTCTAGGGTCAAGAAAACACCACTGAGATTGCTATTACCTGTTCTTTCCCATCTTTGACATTACCTTTGAAATCAAAAAAAGACATCTAGTAAAGTCGGTTTCCACTCTGTGAAAAGCACAGAGCACCAGTTTCCTTTCATCCTTCTGCCAAGTGAAGGATTAGAGAAGGACTTTCAACTCTTCTCTGCCACTGCCACCCCATGTCAGGCTTCACAGACTTGTTGATCGTTAACTTGAAAAGCTGAGGGAAGCTTCTAGCTTTTCATTTGCTTGTTTACCTGTTCAGCCAAGTTGCCTTACAACCGAGTGAGTTTTGAATAAAGAAGGTCTTAAGTGATGAAATGTTTGACTCAGCTCAAATTGAATATTCTCATTGCTTCATAGAATGTAAAGGTCAGTTTGACCGATCGGGCAGGACAGGCTCTCCTAATGGTTTACCATGTACCAGCTCAACAGAAGGGTGGGTGGAAGTCTTCTCAGCAGTTTAGGAAGCTGGAAATTGATTGGCTACTTATTGAACAGTTGCATCATAATGTCTTTATTTTACCCTTACTAAGCCTTCATTTCATCATATGTCAAAAGAGGACAAAACTAATACCTAGTTAATAGCACACCTGTATGAACTGGATATCTTAACTTCTTAGCTTATGCTAAGGACAAAGCCAAATGAAGAGATTCATGAGTCAGTAGAAAATATTTACACACATTATATTTGATAAGAGGTTAATATCCAAAATACACAAGAAACTCATACAACTTAAAACAAGAAAACAAATAGCCTGATTTTAAGTATAGTCCCAAGGCCCAAATAGACATTTCTACAAATGCCCAAAAAAATATATTTTAAAATTCTCAACATTACTAATTACCAGGGAAATGCAAATCAAAACCGTAAGGATATATCAATTCACAAATTGTTAGAATGGTTGTTACCAGAAAGACAAGAGATAACAAGTGTTGGAGAGCGTGTACATTGTTGGTGGAAATGTAAATTAGTACCTCCATTTTGAAAAATTGTAAGTTCTCTCAAAATACTAAAGACAGAATTACCGTATAACCTAACAATCCTACTTCTGCATATATAATCAAAAGAATTAAAATCAATATGTCAAAGAGATATCTTCGTTCCCATTTATTGTAGTGTTATTTACAATAACGAAACTACGGAATCAATCTGAGTCATCAACAGATCATTGGCTGAAGAAAATGTGATATATATACACAAAACAAAATACTATTCAGCCTTAATAAGGAAGGAAATTTGGTCATTTGTGACAATGTGGATGAATATAGAGGACATTAGGCAAAGTAAAATCAGCTAAGCACAGAAACATAAATACTACATGATCTCATTTACATGTGAAACATAAAAAAAGTCAAACTCAGAGAAGTAGAGATTAGAATAGTGGTTACCAGAGGCTTGGGGTAGGGCAGGGATGGGAAAGGGAGAAATGCTGGTGAAAGAGTACCAAATTTTAGTTAGATAAAGAAAAACTTTGGGGAACCTATTGCACAACATAGTGACTAAAATTAACATATATTTCAAAATTGCTAAGAGTAGAGTTTCAATGTTCTTATCACAGAAAAATAATTATGTGAAGTGATGGATATGCTAATTAGTTGGAGTGAGTTTTTCTACAATATATATATAGATATATCAAAATACCACACCATACTACTTAACTATATTCAATTATTATGTGTCAATTAAAAGTAAAATTTAGAAAGATAGCATGTACTCTTATTACAGAACAAGTCTACCCAAGTCCAGAGCTTATAAAGAAGTCTGAAGTAGAAGAGGGGGATCATAGTGGGGGTGGGGGGACTACACTCACGTCCAACTCTATCTGTATGTTCTCAAAGCTTGTTAATGTAGACACACCCAGTCCAACAGGCACTGACATTCTTTTTTAAATGATGCAGATGGAGATTATTTCCTGTTAGCAGTTCAAAGTACTTGGCACAGATTTCATGTAGGCAACCACATTCTTTGAAATCAAAGATCATGAAACTGATAATAAAGAATTTATATGGAGGCCAATTTTTCTCTCTGATTCTTCCTGATGGAATAAACCAAAGACATTGCCTCTGTGGCAACTCTTCAAAAAGGACACTTTTGGTTTTTTAAAAAAAGATCTCGGCGGGGGGGTACTGGGGATCGAACTCAGGACCTTGCGCTTGGGAGGCAGGCGTGGTGCCACTGGGCTAAATCCCTGGCCCTGAAAAGAAGATTCTTTTCTTTCCCCCTTAGTTTCTCATCTATTGCAGAATTTTATTCTCATTCTTTAGAAATTAAATGCTAACGTATCTTTTCTTTCATGGAACGGATTCTTACGTTTGAGCATTTCATTTCAGATTTTTTTTCTCAAGTTTCATGAGAATCAGTGCTCACCTTTATTGGTATTTCCTGGGGCAGCCTTCAATCTCTCTTCTCTATTACTTTACTCTTCAGCCAGGGCTGTAGCAGGATAATTCAAACATTGAGTAGAAGAGTAAAAGTTACCAGGGAATAATGGCCAGCTCTCCAGGAGAATCCTCACTCAAGAAGAGCCTGCTCTAAGAACTGGAAATAGGATCGAAAGTTTCAGGTTGTGTGTTTCGAATGGCAAAAATCTCTCCTTATACTTATCTTGAACACAATCATTTCCTGAGTTTAAATCAAGCCCACTGTAGAGGAAAGGGGAATATTTATCTTCTCATAATATTTTCAATTAACTTATTTAAATAAAAAGACTGTGGTGGGATTCCATAGAAATATGAATTGTATAGAAGATGAGAAGGTTTTCTAAGATCTTTTTACATTACAGTAAGAATGACGCCAAGTGCATGTGCTATGAACATTGGCATGTTAGGCTGCTCCTGTAGGAAAGATAAACTCATTTACTTCAGTAATTATGCTATTTGCTCCACTAGCTGCTGTGGTCTGTGTGACACTGCTTGACAGACTTGACTGCGATCAGATCAACTTGTCCCATGATGTTCTAGTGGAGTACCAGCAACGGCCTCAGCGCCTGATCTCAAACTTCATAAAAAAGAAGCTGGGACTTCATGACCAGATCTCATAACTGGGCGACCCAATCCTCCTCTGCGAGTTGGCAGACCAAGTTGTAATGCTGAAGCCACTTATTATTTGTAGCATCTTCAGTCTTTCTTTTCTTTCTGCCTGGTATGGGAGGTTGGACCTTGGGGCTCATATGCTAAGCAAGTGCTCCACCGCTGAACCACAGTTCCAGCATTGTGACATTTTCAGATAGCTCTCTTTCCCATGCTAAAAGCATAATGGGAAGACTTCATGAAATCCTTTCCTCTGAAAAACTGAATTTATTGTAAGAAACCTTAATACTCACAGTAAGTTACATTTTAGAATAAGTTAACTAAATCAGTCTAATAATTAAAAATTTAAACTTTTGAATTGTGACATTTGGAGTTTCATATTCAGCATTAATTAAGCTCACATCAAAATAGATCAGCCATTCGTACATACAGTTACCAGCCACTGTGTTTCTGAAACCAATCCAGAAATTCATGTTAGGACATTGTCAGGCACATTTAGGTGTTGGACAAGTGACAGCAATTGATCATGCACTTTCAAAATATTTACAGAAAAAAATGTCAGTGTCATGTGGATCTATATGAAAGCGCTATCCTTAGGAAACTATGACTATATTTCATTTTTACCCCTGCATGATTTCACCATACCACAGAACAGGATTAGAGGTTTATGCATGCCTATGTTTGTGATTTTATCATAGAACATAACAGTTCTGGATTACACATTTATTTTCAAATGAAAACCCTTGGTAGTGCAAAGACAGATCTTTTTTTCTTCAGAAATCACCAATCACTAAATTCCCTTCCAGCAATTGTTTTTTTCTTTTAAGAGAATGCTTTGTCAGAAGATTATTATTTTCTTCCATTTCAACATGAACCAAATAGTCCAAGGAATTAGTAACAACTGAATTTAAACTTGAGTCCAGTATGGTAAAGCAGTACTTTCGTGTGACTTCAAGGCAGATCTTATTCAGGCCCTGCACGTGCTCCTGCCAACTCTCTAGGAGGCACAGAGCACTTACCATGTGCGTCAGGCTCTCCATGAGTTGATTCTGCCCTGGGTATTCTGAATGTGACACTCAGGAGTTGTAAAGTATGGATAGAGGATAGGTGGGGGAAGAGCTTGAAAATATGTATAGTTGTGATGTTGTCTATGTATATGTATATGGTTGAGGCTCAAATAAAATTCCAACCACGATGAAGAGTGCTTGGCTCCTGGAAATTCTGTCCCGTCTCGCATGGCAGAATGGAGGCATAAGGTGGGATTCCTTGTGGAGCAGGTCCAGGTTCTAGGCAGGTTGAGTCTGAATTGGCCTGGTCCTGTAGACGGAATGGTTTTTTATTTTAAGCAGCAACAATAACATTTCCCCTTCAGTTTGTGAACTTCTTCTGGCAATAGAAATGTTCAGAGTGCAACTTTTCAGGTATTCCACTATTGTGTTCCCTGGCTCTGGGCTGCAGTCACTGAGAGGAGCCTTTCCTGATTCACACAGCAGTATCATATAGACAATGGGGACTTGAGGCCAGTATCCCATCCCATCTCAGGACCTTTGGCTGTTTACCTTCCCTGAAGGGCTCAACTTAACTCTGGCTCATTATTTAAGTCCCAACCCAGTTTCTTTCCTTTGGAAAACCTTCTTTTTAATCCTAAACCAGATTTCTCCCTGCCCTGTCTAGCACCTCCCAATCCTCTCCTGCCCCTTCAAAGTATTTGTCACAGCTTGCAATTCTGTCTTGGTTTGGGTCATTACTTAATACTTAATGCTTAGACTATAATGTTCCTAAAGGTACAGAGTTCCCGTTTTATTCACTAGTGGACCACCTAGTGCCTAAAACACTGCCTGTCACCTATGAGTTGCTCAATACATGCCTGTTAAATGAGGAATTATTTTCAGACCAATTCCCTTATAAACCCTCAACATAATGAGCCTGGTGGGGTGCCCATGGATTCGTGCAGGATACCTCCCTATGGTTCTCAACACTGGAGCACATTAAGCTAACCAGGGAAGCGTCCTCAAAATGCAGTCTGAGGGCCTGTTTCAGACCCACTCAAGAAGAGTCTCTAGGAGTGGAACTAGGAAGCTCTATTTTAAAATGTCTCGTGGCGGTACGCAGACTGGACTGCCAGCCATGAATTTAGAAAAATGGACCCAGCAGGTGGTCCTTCAAACCGACTGCTGAAAGTCTCCAGGATGTGACTCATAATGGTGATACATGTCAATTTGACTGTAATAAGAAACACCCAGAGAATAGTGGAGTATGGTGCAGGGGTGTCTGTGGGTGATTCACATGGAGGTCAGCAGACCAAGGGGGAAGACTTACCCTGGTCATGTGTGTCATGAACCAAATAGGCCTGTATCCTGGATAGAATAAAAAAGAAAAAAGAATGAAGTGTGCTGGTTTTCAAGAACCCCAGTCTTCTGAAGAGGGCACATCCTTTGCTGCCATCATCAGTTTCCAGGTCTCCAGTTTCTTCAGCCTCTCAAGGCAGAATCTTCTGCCAGTGACTGTCCAGTGAGCTTCCAGACCTTCAGCCTTAGGCTGCTGCTTCATACTTGAGCTGTCTTGTTTTGAGGGTTGAATCTTCATGGACTGAGCAGCTCTCCATTGCATAAGTGGCCACTGTGGATTCTCCCACCACTGATCCCACAGACAGCCACTGTGGACTCTCTTGCTTCCCATGCTGTAAATCCTACCCAATAAATCCCCTTGCATAAATACACACATATTCTCTATTGATTCTCTTCCTCCAGAAGACCCTAACTAATAAAGGTGGCAATTCCACCGGAGTAGTTATAGAAAGACCAAGTTGCTCTACTCTTGACTATTACTTCTTAATACCAGGAATAGTTAGTATTTTAATCATTTTATGTTCTCCAGCAATATGCACAGTGCTTGGCACATAGTAAGACTGGATGTGTGTGGGTATATATGATATATATATAAATAATATGATAATATATAAATTATGTTAGTATTCTTTTTTTTAAAAAAAACTAGAGGAGTTCCTTTAAAAGTATTCTCTACAAGAACATATTGGTGTATTTAAAAATTCTCATGAACATACCAGCCTTGCAGCTTGAGAAATACTGTGCTCATCTTATTGTGTTAGCTGCTGCTGGGCATCACATGTACGGTAGAATTGAAGATTGGGAGTAAAAGACAGATAAATGGCCTCTATTGCTTACCTCCAAGCTACAAGTCCTGTTATCCTGTCATGGAAGGAAATTAAAATTTTCTGACACATACTGAGTTTCATAAAGCCACACTGTTCCTTTCCAAAATCCTGTGTGCCTCTGGACATACCACAACTAGATATTTTGGAGATCTTGTCTACAATCTTAATCTCACACTTGGAGCTAATCTTTAATTATTAAGGTCTACTTTTGTTCCTTTTTAAAAGAAATGAGTTATAAGCTGGGGGCAGTGGTGTAGTCTCAGCTATTTGGGAGGCTGAGGGTGAGGATCACCTGAACCCAGGACTTCAAGGCCAGTATGGGCAACATAGCGAGACCCCCTTCTTAAAAAACAAAGTTAAAATGAAGAGTATAAATTTTTTTTCCAAGACAGGCAGGTCTGCGGACGCCGTAGCAACGTCGCGAGTCGCGCGGAATGCGCCAAATCAGCCCGCGCCCCATGCGCCAAATCAGCCCGCGCCCCGGCAGCAATCCACAGGACACCTCCCCGCCCCGGCTCCTCTGGCCTCTTCTCTGTACAGCCACCTGGTTCCACACTACAAAGACGCAGACACCGGACCACCAGACCACTGTACTGGGTAAGTTGGAGTCATCTTCACCTCCCATCAGGACCGGGACTATCTTCAGGGGAAGGGCAGCTGGAACCTGCAATACAACTCTGCAGAGTTCAACCCTACAGGAGGACAGGGAGCTCAACTGG